TTTTCATTTTCATTTCAATTTGGTCCTTTTCGAAACAAGATATTAAAAAAAAATAGGAAGTGTGGATTTAATTTTTAAAATGTTACTCGGTAACCTTGCTCCCGACACCCTCCCCCCCAAAAAAAAAGTTTTCTAGCGCCGCCCCTGCTCTCATAGCTCGCGGATGGAAAAGAAAACTTTCCTGCAGAAGTTGTCGAACATGGGAGGGTCTTCATCCAGCCCCAACATCAAGCAGTCTTCTCCTTCGCGATTTTCTGGCTGTTTTTTTCCCCATTCGGTTACGGGTCGTCCGGAAAACCAAGTCCAGTGGGAGCTGTCGTTGGCCCGGCTGATCTCTCTTCCAACCCAGAACCACTGATCAGTCCAGATTTCTGTCAACACCAAAGATACATGTTCTCTCTCTCTCTCTCTCTCTCTCTCTCTCTCTCTCTCTCTCTCTCTCTCTCTCTCTCTCTCTCTCTCTCTCTCTCTCTCTCTCTTTTCCTTCTTATATTGTGTTCATTTAAATGTATTAATTTATTTATTTTGCCAGAGTTTTCATCAACTTTATCGCTTCATAAACGCACGAGTCATTGCGATTATCAGTAAATCTGCTCTTTTACACAGAAGAACGAGTATTTGTGTAGTGGCAGTAAGCAGTCACCCTCCGAGTTTCATATCACACGCTAATGTGCATAACGAGACGTTTGCTACAGAGAGAGAGAGAGAGAGAGAGAGAGAGAGAGAGAGAGAGAGAGAGAGAGAGAGAGAGAGAGAGAGAGAGAGAGAGAGAGAGAGAGAGAGAGAGAGAGAGAGAGAGAGAGAGAGAGAGAGAGAGAGAGAGAGAGAGAGAGAGAGAAGAAAGAAGAGAGAAAAGAAAAGAAAGAAAAAAAAAATATATATATATTCATATATATATACATATACATACACATATGCGGTAGTATTATATCATAAAATGTATCTGTGCCACTACAAATAAATCAATATAAATTAATCTTACAGGCAACTGAACTAAATGTCTCAAACGAGAGATAACCGCAACATCTGTTTATATTCGCGGGAGAATTTCCTCCGAGATCTTTCTCGTGGGTGATTTCAGGGCGCGGGGTAGGGTACGTATTTCAGGATGTTGCTATCGAGGAATATGATAACAACTTTCCACGCTGTTTTAAAGTCATTGTAATATAAAGATTCAGGAAGTTTGTACTCTGAATTTGAAACTTAATCATGATGTTATTAGAAGCCTTCTTTTTGTCTACTGATATATTACATGAGTTGGGAGCGTTTTTCTAACCTGGATATAACTGCTTTTCTGTATCTGTAAATACGAATTCTCTGTGGGATTATCTTTTCGTTTTTCTTTTCTCTGTTGAGAGTTATAACTACAGTTTGAGTATCCCACAACTAATAAGAAGGTATGTTGAATTTTCATATACGTCTTCAATATGAAAATATCCGAATTTGTTTTATTATCATTTATATTAAATATTAATGGCAACAACATCTTTTCTGTGGAGTTGATGATGTTGTCATCTGATCATTAACTAATATTATTTGACGTAATTTGAGTAAGAGTTCCTCTTGTGCATTTTAGTTTTCATAATATATCATCGCATTTTTCATACATCATTAATTGAATGGATGCTAGCACATGTATTAGGAAAGTCTAAATAGTCAGAAGCTGTAACATGTGTGATTATAAACAATTTAAAAAACGACTTGAGTAGCAGTAACTGGAAATTCTACCAAAAACTCTATTTGGACTCCGTCACTGTCCACTGTTTCTGCAATGGCCATCGTAGCCATAACAATCTTTCATCTTGGGGCCATAATTGATTTTTTAAACTGATTGTATTGCTTTTGTAAAAACAAGCGATATGCGTGTTAAAAATGATATTCAATGTTCCTGCTCATGACCGCTCTCTTTGTTTAATAGCCTCTCCAATTTCTAATATTTAGTGCAACAGTCACAAGTGTGTATGGAGAAATATTAATACTGCAAAATAACCGTGGAAGCAATCACACGAAAGCATTATTTCTTTGTACAAGATTCGTCACGTTATCACCTCAAGGGTTGGGCGCAAAGTCCTGACGTGCAGTACGCCGTGCTATTTGTCTTTGGCGCTAACGAAAGGGGGCGTGGCTACAGTGGAAGGAAAAAGAGATGAATGAAGTATTTTCTGTTTGGTTTCAAATGCCAAAAATTATGTTTGACTACTGTCCTCTTGGTCCCGGTGTCAGTGTACCTAGTTATCGACTGCTTTCTGGTACACATTATCTTTTTGTTCTTTTCTAAATTATCTTTTGTCCATTCTATATTCGCTTCCACTTCATTTATTTGCTAATTCTGTACCGTCTTACCGGCTTTGCACCTCTTTCCATTTTCCTCTCTCGTCTTCGCGTCTCAGCTGATTCGATATCAGTTCGAAACTTCTCCCGATGCCATGGGAGGAGCACCCAGCTGACCTCACATGTGCCAGGTCGAGCTGTCGAATCCCCCGAATATCTCTGTCCGGCCATACTCTTCATGTCATACTTATATATATATACGGACGACCCCATATCCCTCTACAAAAATCCACATGCGGGCGCGCCCATATATATATATATATATATATATATATATATATATATATATATATATATATATATATATATATATATATATATATATATATATATAATATATATATATATATATATATGTGTGTCTGTGTGTGTGTGTGTGTGTGTGTGTGTGTGTGTGTGTGTGTGTGTGTGTGTGTGTGTGTGTGTGTGTGTGTGTGTGTGCGCGTGTGTGTGTGCGTGTGCGTGTGTATGTATGCGAAAACAAACATGAACGGAGAGAGCACGCGACAACAGCCCGGCAACAGAGGCGAACGAAATGGCCGGCAAAGGAGACAGTTCGACAGGGGATAAAAGAGACGCTGGCGGCGCCGGAGGCAGTCGAAGGGCAGTCTCGAAGAGGATCGCACGCAATGAAGCTCTCCTGGTGCTTGGCGCTGCTCGCGGCCCTCGCCGTGCCTTCCACGGGCTTGGATGTCTTCAGGAACTACAAGTCTCTCAGTAAGTCGCTTTGATGCGAGTCGAGGGGAATTCGTGTTTGCTGGAGAGGATGTCTAGGGAGAATTGATAAAGAGGGAGACGGAGGACAAAGGGGAATGAAAAGAAGATGGAGAGCAGTGACGTCGACCGCCTTTGAAGGTACAATGTTCGTATCTGAATCAAAACCGGAATAGATGGACAGATTTCATTCCTCTCTTTTTCATCTCACAGTAGCCACGCCCCTTTTATGAGCGCCGTCGACAGATAACATGTACCGCACGTCGGCACTCCCCTGGAATAGTACAACAACAATACGAGAAGTAGGAGAGGCCGTAGTTTAAAAATGAGAGCAATTGTGAACAGGGGCCTTGAAAATAATTTATGATTATTTTAACTCATCACTCAGTTTCACAAAAGCAACAAAATCAGTTAAAAATCAAGGCTTCTGAGATCTAGAATCAAGTATGACTTCCAAGATGAAACATTGTCATGATTGTAATGGCCTAGTTACAAGTTAATTTTTATTACTTCTTATCGAACATGATACAGCTTTGCCAGGTAGCTCACTCCCTATGTTTCAAAAGAGATTAGCAATATGATTAAACCCGATCACAGGTACTAGTATTAATGCAATCAATGATATGAAAACTGTGTTTGTGTTTGATGAAAACTGTAAAATGGAGAAGAGAAAACTGTTACTCAAATTAAGTCAAATAATATTAGTTGATGATCACGACACATCCCTGCCAGCTGTACGAGTGCATCTCAAGAGGCGGAGGGGCCTCCTATATATCCAGATTGAACGCTCTGTACTTCGTTGTTTCCTTGGTTATTGATAAGTAAGAATTGAAGCCAGACAATATTTTGAGTGAAGCTGTTTATGATGCGCCTGCAGAGCATATCAACGCGAGAGAAGGGTCTGCACACCCAGGTACTTGTAAGGGCGTCTTCCACGGCTTATATGACCGTTCCTTTCCTCCACTGTGACTTGGATACAGACTTACTCCTTTCTGACTAATACGACTAACAGTCCTCTAAGCATGGCATCTCTCTCTCTTCTCTGTGTCTACGTAGGTTTGCCGTTTTTGACTTGGCGTGATCAACTATTCTCTGTATCCCTTTCCTTGTTTGCCATTTATCTGAGGGTTTCTACCTTCTTCCAGGTCGTTACTGCCCGGCGCCCTTCTTCAATGTGGGGCCAGAGTGCTTCTACGTGAACAGAGCCCCGAAGAGTTGGCACCAGGCAAGGGCCGCCTGCCAGAGGATGGGCGGCGACCTCGCCGAACCCACCCACACGTACGTGCTCTTGGAGGCCCTTCGAGACAGCCATGGTAAGGCCATCTCGTTTCTGAAGCGATGAAGCTGATGAAAACATTGACAAAATAAATGAACAACTACGCATATAAAAATGAACAAACAGTATAAAGAAGGCAGATCCAACACACGTCCCCATGCTGTTCACAGACTCCTGGGAGGATAAATGGTTCTGGACTGGAGGAGAGATCTTCAACCGGGGCGGCGACAGCTCCCAGTGGACTTGGTTTTCCGGACGACCCGTAACCGAATGGTCAGAGAACCAGCCACAAGCACGTGATGGAGAAGACTGCCTGATGATGGGGCTGGACGAAGACCCTCCGATGTACGATTACTTCTGCGCTGAAGATTACCACTCCATCTGCGAGCTCGACGAGTGATCGATTTCTTGTGTTTGTGAAATGATTATGATTTGCTCTAGCTTTCTGTGTCAATTTGTTTTTCTTTTTTTATTTCCTCCATGTTCATTATATGCAGTCACCTTTCTCAATATATAATTAATTTAGTATAGTACAGAGAGGATCAGCCAAGTACAATATCCCTCCTTTTTTTTGAAAGGTCAAGAGTATGGCTAAATCTTCTATCAAGAATTACAATTAATAATCTTGTTTAATCAATATTATAATCATCATTGGCGCTTTATGAATTAAACAGAAGGAAAAAAATGTTATGGCTCGTGAATTACCTTCTACATGCGTACATGTGTGTGTGAACATATATGTGTACATATGTAAATATGAATATATATGTGTGTGTGTATATATACATACACACTGTGAGGTGTTCTTTGCTCTGTGGCTATTAGCATGTGCGTATGTGTGTATGTGTGTGGGTTCACCGTGACTCCTTCACACTCCTTCACGTTTAACCTATGGGTCTATTATTTACACTAACTAGCTCTCCTTTAGTCTTTTTTACTTATAATAATCATAGAAGCAAAGTAGTAAATGAATGTATCTTAAAACCATGAAAAAACGGCTTAAATAAAAGAAATGATAGTTATGATTAAGACAAGTTGAATATATAAATCAATATCACTTAAATATAAGTAAAGGATCACGTCCAGCTCCTCAGAAAAATAGTGTCAGAACACAGAAAGTTTCTGGTCCAGACTGAGTATATTTCGCGCCATTTTTGGTAGTTCGTGACGTCACGAACTACGCCACGAACCATACATCTTTTGTATTTATAAAAATTCACCCTTTTCTTTCTAGGTCAAAAACATATTTTAACAAGGCCAGAAGAAAAGATAAAAATATTGAACAAAAAGTAAATATAAAAGTAGATGACGCGTAAAATGGTCGAAAAATAATATATAAAAGTTAGATACAATATCTAATAAATCAAGCTAAAAAGAAAATAAAGTACATAGACTTTCGAATCTCAAAGCAAGGCAAATAAGATGGCTATAAAATCGAAACGGAAAGAAAACGACTATAAAAGGGAAAACTCAACTAAAACGGTAAAAACAATAAAACGAAATAAAATGCTAAACAAAAAAGACTAGACCCCAAAAGAAGAGCAGGGTCGAGCGAGCAGAGTCCGGCCGAAAGACGGAATATGTGGCGAGATCCATTCATCTTGGAAGCAGACACACACACACATGACTTTCTGGCACACACATCACACAGACACACACACACACACACACACACATACACCACACACACACACACACACACACACACACACACACTCACAACACACACACACACACACACACACACACACACACACACACACACACACACACACAATATATATATATATATATATATATATATATATATATATATATATATATATATACATACACACATAGTTACCTATATGTATATGTGTGTTACCTGTGTGTATATATGTGTACACCAAAGAAAATTGCTTTAAGCGTTGACCACCATCTATGAGGGTGCGAGAACATATTTCAAGTGTGCATTATATTCAGACTTAGCCTCCTTGCAAACATCAGCTCCCATGCTTTCCATGGCACCACATTTCCCCCAACCAAGGAGGCTATAAGCAAGGTGTTTGCATGTGGAGCAGAAAGAAATTGACTGATTGGCATCTCGTCTCGCCGGCCTGCCTTAGCCCCGCCCCATTTTGACAGAGCTGGGTGTGTGTATATATATGCATATAAATAAGCATACATGGCTGTCATATTTATGTATATATATGTACGATATATATGTATATACATATACATATATATATCAACATACTTGAACAATCCGCGTTTTCCCGCCTCACGTGACCTGTCAAAATGGGGCGGAGCTATGACGTCACCCGAGTGGCGCCATAGCTAGCCAAGCAGGAGAAAAGAAATTGTTTCCAATTGTGGATTGTTTTTATATTTTTATTCATCACAATTATCAGTATACGGAGTGCAATAAAAAAAAAATCCACACTTTTGTTTGAGCATACGAATCTTTATTTATTATAATGAAACTTACAGAACAAACAGGAAAGATCATATTTCGTTGTGTTACTACAGAGTTCAATTTGGATGACGCTACCTCCCTTCTAGATTCCTGGCCCCGCCCCGAACAAGAACAAGAGCGAATGCAGTAAACAGACCAGATTGCATGCAGTGTGCTTGTACCTATGAGCCTGAAATCATTGTTCATGCTTTATCATGTGAACGAAATTTTAGTTTCACTGGTACAACTTCGGCAATAATACTATTTTCTGAATCTAAATCTAGCATATCCGATCGGCGAATGTAAATAAAGTAATAAAATGGCTTGATTAGCAAAATTGGATAAAATACTCTATGAATACCCTTATGTTTTGAAAGCCCATATTGGAGTAACTGGCCGTTTACAACGATTTATCTATTTTTTATTTATATATATATATGTGTGTGTGTGAGCATATATATATATATATATATATATATATATATATATATATATATATATATATATTAATCATATATACGTGTATATGTATAAGTATTTTTTATTTATTCATATTTGTCTGCATTTAGATATTCTAGGCATAGCTAGAAGAAGAAATGTTAATGAAGAAACGAGAAGAAAAACAAGAACTACACAGTCGCATGAGAACGCACATTCGCGAGGAAAAACTGTGGAGAGAAAAATGTGCAATTCTGAAGCATGAATATGTATACACATTTTGCGTATGTATATATAGATGAAT